TATATATATATAGTGGTTCTCTCAGTGGAATTTGGTGCCTTTTTCCTGAATTCCTTTAAGTTTAAACACAGCTAAACTGCACACTGTGATTGATACCTATAGAGCTGTTAGAATTTGTACGCAGACAAAGTCATGTCTAAAAATAGCTTGAGATCGCCATTTGAGGTAAACTTTATTGTTTTGTAGATGTCTAAACCAAGCCATAGATGTCAAATAGATATTTTCATGCAGCTGTGATTGGTAAGAAGAACAAACATGTTTTTTTGTGTGACTCAAACTTGAAGATTTTGTTTTTTCTGCTTGCTTTCATTTTACCAAGTAGCTGCACTGCTTTTGAACGTTAAGCTGCATCTCCTCTCTGTGCTGCTTTTCAGTATCTGAGTTGCCTCAGATAACTTACAGGCCAAATACGGCCCCTGGGCCAGCAGTTGGTGTCCACTGTCGTATGAGCTTTAAATCTCCCCTCTACGCAGTGCAGTTTCTATTCTTTTGTGAAACTGTTGCACAAAGCACCACAAAGATTATGACTTTTTTTTTTTTACCAATCTGAGACAAATTAAATCCGTATAGTTATAAAACAACACGATTACTGGAGAAACACTGCAGATGCTTGAGACTGATAGAGACAAGCAGCTTCCTCCTCCTCCACCCCTGTGAAGCGGCCACCGATTGCTATGCAGTGAGATAGGAGCTGGGTGAGGATGGTTGTGTAAATGTGTGGAGGATGCTGCTATTATAGTCATCTATCTCCCCCTGGCTTTGTTCTGCCTTCGCTCTCAAACTTACCTCTCCATCATTACCACTCCTGCCTACCGTATAGTGTTTGTGCAGCACACAGCCACACATTATCTCAGGGAGTTTCTTAAACCTCCCAAAGAAAACTGTTTCTGAAATCCATTTTAAACAGTATGGCTGAGAAAACCAGAATCATATACGGTAACTACAGATAATTGAATTAAAAACGTAATGAAGTATTACTTTCTCATATCTTGACTTATGTTACTCCTCACTTTAAATTCCTGTGAAGAAGTTAAAATGACTTGGATCAATCAGAAATCAAATATTTTAATATATTGTGGGAAATAAATCTGATGACCACAAGCCTCACAGATGGATTATCTTAGGTGAAAGAAGAAGAAGAGGAAGAAGAAAAAAACGCTCAGTTTCACACTCACAACGCAGCACTTCCATCCCGCTCCGTCTCTTTCGCTCATACTCACTTGTCAGATTCCTCACCCGTTTTCACTCCCAGGCTCAGCTACCCATTATTGTGCGTTTTTCACCAGAGGTATACTTGAAAGAAACAAGTAAAAGTTATGAGCGGTAAATATGAATTTCTCCGATGAGAAAAGGGCAAGATCATGTTAAATCTACTTTTTTGATATTTATATCATGTTATAATGTCATACTCTCATAAAAACATGTCCAAAGCCTTGCTTTGACTCATTCATGCATGTTTGAGAAATCCTGCAGC